AAGTATTTTCTCATAATGATACAATCAGTTCATGATTTCACGGAAAACAATTATTCAATCATCCTCATTTATGAATAGTGTGATCAATAATGCAACATTCGCATACATACACGTATTATAATGAAGAAAGAACAAACATACATCACACAATATGAAATCACAACCATCACCTACCTCGAACAAAGCTTGAAATCCCCTAAGAAACTTGATCCTTCCCTTTCCAGAGTCTTTCCGCTTGTTCTTGGTGTACAGACAATCAATTTAATGCTAGGATCAATAAACAAGACTTTAATTACTCGGAATAAAGTCAACACTGTCAACCCTAGATCAAACTCATGATCCCACTATACCAATTAGGGGTTTTTCCACCATAATTTCCAAATCAAAACCCTCCCCCATCGATAATTACCCGCTAGATTACATTCTACGAATCGAAAAATAGATTCGAAGAGTTAAAACCTTACCTTTAGCCTCAAGAATGGTGAAAATGGTCAAGAAAACACCTGGGGTCGTCTCCTAGCTCTCAAAGTCGAAAAGTGCAGAATAAAATATTTTTGGAGTTTATTTTCGACTTAAGTCATGTCTGTCCTACCACAGCGGTACTCACCCCGCTTCAGCGGCCCAGCCCTGGCAGCACAAATTCCCGCCAGAGCGGCTTGCACGGAACAAAGAGCTTAATAAAGAATTTCCAAACCCCATTTCACAACACACCTTTTTCCCATGACATTCAGAAAATACTCATTCACGCTAAAATCAGTTTCGGGAGTTCTACTCACCTAAATTCAATTTTGTAAAGTCTAACGGGTTTCTTAACGTCTTAGCTATCTACTCATGTGATCAAATTCATAATTAGATCACTCAATTGTTACCAGATTTCCCTAGACCTTACTGACTCCGATTTCGTCCAAATCTGGACTAGGTTGGGAAATTCCAAGTTACTGAGAAAAAGTTTTCCGGCCCAAATTTTTTCCCCGTTGAATTTTCTATAACGACAAAATGGGTCATTACAGCTTCTTTTTTTAATTGAAATTAAAAACAAATAAAAGTCCTAACACAATTCTAGTCAAAATATAAGACTGCCAGAAAATCTACAACTTACAAGTATTCTTCACTGCATAATTGAAGTCCTACCCCCATTATCTCGCATAAATTGGTAAGTTCTTCTTTACAAGCGTATTTTTTTTGTATGAATTTATTGTTGATTCTTGTGAACTGAAATGAATATATTTTTGACGAAACATAAGTCTTCTCAACCAAGTGCTAGTTTTAGAGACAATTTTTCGCATTTTGTAGATAAGTTTGATTTGCAATCACTTAGATCGGATCCTGGAGAAAGAATATTCATTGATAAATATAACCATAGAATACGAGATGAAGTGAGAAGACATTATAATCAACAAAGGGTCTTGTCAATCGAATAGTAATGATAATGAACATCCTCAAACTAGATCCGGAACGATAATGCGTTGATTTTGTAAGGCATGGTTAAGGGCTGATATTCTAGATAGTTTGAGTTGTTTATTCAAAATTCTAAAATATTCTTGATAAAAAGTTGATTGTTCTTCCTTTAAAAAAATTTTAATTATAATTTCAATATTGGTTAAAGTGAAATAAAATAATAAAATGCACTATTTAAAAATTTTGGGGCCTAAAAATTTTGGAGGCCTAAGCAGGGCGATTTGCTAACCTTACCCTTAACCACTCCTAGCCTTACCCTTGAGGCCACTCTTAGTGGTGCCCCCTATCTTCAAATCTTGGGTGTGCCTCTGTACATAACGTAGGTTATTGTCATTCAATTTATATGTCACGTAAAAAAAAAAATTAAAACCTGTTGATAAAGTTTATTATTAGACCTCCAATTTTATTGAAACAGTCAATCGATTATATTCTCTCATTCAATCTTCTTAGGATAAGTAAGAAAATTCAAAAGATAACCGTTAAACTTACAGGAATATATAGATTAGAGAATTACCTAGTCATATATATATATATATATATATATAAATATGAATTAGTCAATCACAAGTAGGGGTGTCAAAAATGAACCCAAACATAGGTAATTCGTTCAATCCGTTCAAAATTTTAAGGGTTATATATATATGAATTAGTCAATCACAAGTAGGGGTGTCAAAAATGAACCCAAACATAGGTAATTCGTCCAATCCGTTCAAAATTTTAAGGGTTATATATATATGAATTAGTCAATCACAAGTAGGGGTGTCAAAAATGAACCCAAACATAGGTAATTTGTCCAATCCGTTCAAAATTTCAAGGGTTGGTCTTAAGATAATTTGAATTGGGTTCAATCTCAACTCATTCAAGTCTAACCCATTTTAAGAGAATTTTCAATTGAGCCCAATTCAATCTCAAATTTCAACCCGCTTTAAAACTCTTTACTAAGATATGTTCCTATATTAAATATATGAATTATTATCTATTTAACATCTTTTAGGATTTATCTATCCAATTGTTACTTTTTTAAAAGAAAAATCTTGAGCTGAAATTCAAATTGTGATTATAAAAGTTAAATATCACTATATTAAAATTATTGAGATTAATCTGGTCAAATTGGGCGGGTCAAGACCCAACCCATTTTTTAGCCCATTTGAACCTAACCCATTTGAGCCCAAAGTAAATTTAGGTGGGTCAAGACCCAACCCAATTTTTATTTCAACCCATTTTTATATCTCCAATTTCAACTCAATCCACTCATTTGACCCCCCTAATCAGTAGTGTCACCTTGATGCAGATCATAGTATAAAGCTATGAGAATTTTGACCAAAAAATAATAATAAAGGTATGAGAATAATACAGAGATAGAAAGAGACACAAACTTAAGACAAGAAATTGAAGGGAATTGAATAATCAGCCGAACGTGTTTGTTTCATTGTTCACGACTCTCTGTTTGCTAACGCGGATAAGTCTCATTGTTACGCTACACATACGACATTCCAACGACCAAAACGTCAAATTTAAAATATTCATCTGTCTCAATTTACGTGACATTTTGCTAATTTTGAAATTTAATATTGATTGTAATTTTTTTTATACTTTTTATAAAATATTTTAATTATTGTGATTTATAGTTTCTTTTCCAGAAAATTTCCAAATATATAAATTTATTTTGAAAAATTAAAGATATCACGCTCATATAAAATTTATTTAAAAAATTAAAGATATTACGCTCAATTTCATGATTAAACTTAAACTGTTTTACTTTCGAAATTTAAATTATACCACATAAATTGATACATAGGGTATATTTTCTTGTCTTCAATTTATTTTTCTGAGTTTAATTTGATACATAGTTTTAAAAAATAAAGATATATTTTATCAAATCTTAAAATTTTAAATTAAAATATATGAAAAATATCAAAAAAAAAATTATGTTATACCTATCATATAAAAAATTAAAATAAAATAAAACAAACAAATTCAGATAGAGAAATTATTATGTTTTAGCCTTCCGCTTGTCTGTTTCCGTTTCATCAGCGTAACCTAAAAAGGACCCGTTTTGACTTTGCTTCTTTAAATTGGCCTCCCTCAGCAAACATTAATTATTTTATTAGTAAAAAAATTAGATTTTTTTTTTGTTTAGAATAGAAAATTTCCTCTTTATTTTCTTTTATTTATTGGATTGAAAATTTTCGTTTGTAAATTGGAAACCATCTACTTCATTTCCTTTTTAGTTTGATATCTAACCTTCTATATCATAAAATCATACGTTTTATTTAATGTTTCGTCTAATAGTGACATTTTTTTTCTTTTAAAGTATTATTTATTTTTTTGGAAAATATTGGCTTTTTATGTGTTTGCAAAATATATATTTTTTTGTTTTCCATCCAATGTTTGGTACTTATATTGGAGCCTACTAATTCTAAATTCACGCTGGAAAATTCCACATTGGGTCCAATATCTATATTGAAGCACGGCTTAATCTTAATTCGCATTGAATAGTCGAATCTTAAATCTAGAATTAAAGATGCAGAATACTTACCACTCCATCACAATTCTAATTAGTTTGCGAAATATTTAATTATTGACATATCATGTCATAACTTGTTGGGTGTCACACTTGATTTAGAAGTTGAATTGTAATTAGGAAAGAAATATGATAGGACACGTAGAATTCAATCACCTTTAAATCAATTTCTTAATTGTAAGTGCAATTTTATTATGAAACGGTAAGTACTTTTATTCTTTAATTAAGGAATTTTGAATTTTGAATCTTGTATATGAAATTATTTTTAGTAGGATCTTATTTTTTTTAATGTGAGATTTTGGGGTGAGAATTTAATTAAACTTCAATACATATAGAGACGGAGAAAAAAATTGAGGTTAATTTAAAATTTATAATTAGACAATAACGTTCAAACTAGAAATTCCATAGAGAACACAACTTTAATCAATGATTTTCAGGAAATGAAGACTTGACTTATCTAGAAGGAAACTTATATTCAATATATGAGAAGCTCTTAAAACTGCATTTCGAAAAAAGGACAATTTCAATAATTTACTTTTTCATGTCACTCATAATAAAATAAGTATATGCTCATAATGATTTATAACTTATTTAGTAAATAAAATTTAAAAAATCGATCTAAAAATTTGTGCCTATGAAAGTACTTTTTATATATATTGATATTAATATTGGTATATATAGAAGAACAATAATAGTTTACTTTTTTTTCTTTTTAGTCTGTCCAAAAAATATCATCCTACTATAATTAAAAATAATTTAATTTTATAATTTTATTTATCCTTATTAAAATGATTTAGAATCAACAAATATCTAAAAATTATTTGAAATTAGAAGCTTTAAAAGTTTTTCTAAAAAATATCATGTCAAATCAAGCATAAAATTAAAAGTTAGGGAGTACTATTATATATATATATATATATTTAATAGATGTAGCAGGTTACGTTACGTGTGTTGTCCTTATTGTGTTCAACAACTCCACTTTGTGAATTTTCCTCCTCTTCTTCCTCCCTCATCAACTCCCAACTCTAACAACTATATATACACACCAAAACATACACACAAAACATCACAAAATTAACTAAATTTACATCTTTAATTTCAAAAGTTTCATATCTCCATCTTTTATTTATTCAACATGAATAGCTACAACCAAAACAAGGCCCAAGGATCATCATATCCAGCACAGCAGCAGGCAAGTGATTTTGTGGCACCACCACCCCCAGCTGGTTATCCAACTAGAGATGTACAAGGCGATTCATCTGTTCCAGTTACTACTCAATCCAGAGGCGATGGCTTCTGGAAAGGATGGTTAGTAATTCGATTCTCTACTTTTGTAGTTTTTTTCCGTCTCTCCTATTTTCTTTTCAAGAAAATTAATAACTATTGCAAATATTTTTGCAGTCAATTTGCTGAATTAATTTTTTTTTTTATTGATCTATATCTAAGAGTATTTGGCGATAAATATAAAATTTAAGACAAAATAATATTTTTTACATGTTCTTAGTTTTTTTGTATGGGAATTATTGAAGCTCAAAAGATTGAATTACCCGTTGGAACTCCTTTCTTTCCCAAAAAACAATTGGGGGAAAAATGAAAATTTCGTTAAAGAGATAATTTATTTACGTATTAATATTTTTTATGGTTAAGTTATATAATATTTGATTATTAATTAGGAAATATATTTTTTAGATATGAAATATTGTATTTAATTTACAATTTAAAAGTACATATATAAATTATGAGAAAATTTATACTCTATTTGTCTCAATTGATTCAATTGATGTGACTTACTTTTCTTTTAGTGAGTCCCAAAAAAAATGAAGCATTTCTATATTAAGTAACAATTTAATTATAAATGACTATTTTATCCTTAATCAAATGATTTACAGCCACACAAATTTCTGTCATTCATTTTGGACTACAAATTTTATAAGTCTTCCTTTTTTTTTCTTAAACTCCGTATTGAGTCAAACTACCTCACATAAAATGAGACGAAAGAAAGTATCTTATTTTACCTCCAAATAAAAAATGTAATAATATATATCTACCTAACTAATATGTGCATTGTTAATATTGCCTAATTCTAATAAGCTATTAAATCTCTAAATATATATAAGGCTTTTTTTTGCCCTTTAAGTGGGTGGACCCAAATTTTATCTTTTGGGTGCAGAAACTTTGAATTAATTTGTTGACACACACAACAAGAAGAATAAAAACTATTGTCACCCAATTAATTTTTCCTTTTAGAAAAAAAATATTTTGTATCTCACACAATTGAGATCTTTCATGTCAACAAACCTATCTTGTATCACAAAATTTTAGTGGATAGAGCTTATTTCTTAGTCAAAACAAAATTAAAGTCAAACAATTTACAACAAAGTGAAATGAAGTATAATAAGGATATTAATGAAATGATCATATACAAATTATAAAGAAATCTTCATGTTCTCTTTTACTATTGGAATTACCAGTTGTGTCATTTTGGAATTGTTTTTCTAAATTTATTTCTTTCTCATTAAAAGCTAGCGCGCAATGGAAAAAAAAGTTATTACTTATTGCATGCTCGGATTTGATTAGCTTCTTTTTTCGCACGATATAACGTTTTCTTTTTGTCGTTTGTTGCAGTTGTGCCGCCTTGTGTTGCTGTTGTGTGTTGGATGCTTGTTTCTAACAAGTGACGCCAATTTCCCTATGAGTGTATTTGCTTTTTATTCCTTGTAATAATGTTATGTTTTTTAAAAAAAATTCTTGATGTAAAATTTATTTGGGATTTCATTTTACATTCCTTTTGATGTCATTCGTTAGACATATGTTTTGAAATATTGTTTAATTAATTATCGTTCTTGGTTATTTAGTGATTAACTTCTTGTCAGTTGTTTTAATCGTTAGGTCAATCGTTAGGTCATTGTGTAGAAATCTCACGTCTAGGATTAGAGAAATCAAAGATTGTATTGATGAAAATAATGTTGAGTTTCAACCTCCTTATATAGGAAGAGAATTGTAGAGTCTTAAGTTAACTATACTTAGAGTCCTACTACAATACCTATTACTCCTATAATAATAATAATAATGCAATTATAAATAATCTAATCCTAGTTGTACTATAATCCTAATCATAATCTAATTCTAGTCGTAATATAATCTTTATTAATATAAGTAGTCTAATTCTAGTGTGACTCTAATTCTACAGCAATGTTGTAAACTCGTCAGTCAGCTTCGTTGGACATGTTCCAATCGTCAGCTTCCTTCTTCATCAACACTTGTTGTAGACACGTCAGTCAGCTGCGTTGGACCTGTTCCTTTGACATGTTCCAATCGTCAATTTCCTTCTTCTTCAACACATTGTTCTTATCTATTAATTCAATTATTTGACAAGAGGTTGGATAGGGACTAGTTAGGTATAGTGGATCAATTTGTCAAACGAAAATACGTAACGCATATTATATGCTTAAATTATATTGATGGTGACTATTTTTAGGGGTCGTGTGGTTGGGGCCATTTTTTGGGTAGTTTGTTAGAAATGATTGAAAAATATAATGTACAAGTATAAACGTTATATCGAGACCTCATTATGTTTGACTAGAGGTATTAGAATAAATTAAAAAAAAGTGAGATAATGAGCTTTATAGAATTTTTTTTGATAAATATCACTTTTTTTAAGGGGAAAGGGTTAAAAATGCTCTTAAACTATGCGAAAGGAATAAAAATGTCCTTCGTTTATACTTTGGTCCAAAAATGATCTTGCCGTCAATATTTTGGTCCAAAAATGCCCTTATTGTTATTTAATGGGTCAAAAATATTCATTTTCCAAATAAAATATTTTTTTAATACATTCTTTTTCTAATAATATTTTTTAAATTAACAAATATTTATCTTACTTCAATTCAGAAAAAAAATAAAATGAAAATATTTCTTATTTTATTATAATTATTTTTTATGATGGATATACTATGATCTTATATGTATGGCATATATTATATGTCGAAAGGGTAAATGAAGTTATTCTATTTTAATTGATAAAATGAGATTAAGAAGAAAAAAAATTTCCTACATTTTTATTTGTTAAAGTGATTTTAAAAGAAAGAAAACAAGAACAATGCTCTTTAATAATGTGTTAATTAGGAAGAAGATATGTTTAAAAAGAAAAAATATATATATTTATTCGGTAAAAGGCATTTTTGATCCTTTTAGTAACTATAGGGGCATTTCTGGATCAAAATATTGACTGCAAGTGCATTTTTGAACCAAAATATTGACAGCAAAGACTTTTTTGAGTCAAACTATAAACGAAGGACATTTTTGTTCCTTTCACATAGTTTAAGGACATTTTGACCCATTTCCCCTTTATTAATTAGAAATTACCCATATTCAAAATACAATTTCACAAACTTTCCATTCCATACGACTAGTTTTGGAGGGGGTGGGGGAGGGTTCGCCTTTTGAATCAAATAAAATAAGTAGTTGGAGTGACCAATTATATTTAATGTTTGGTTGGTTGTAAAGAAATATTAATCTCATATAGCATTTGGCTGGCGGTTCTAGATAATAAGCTAACTAGTAAGTTAGGGAAAGCTAACATATTATTTCATGAGACATAAAATATGAAATAAGAATAAGTGTATTAACAATACATGAACTAAAATATTTTATACTATAAATTGATCTTAAAGTAAGTAATTTTTTCATAACGATAGATCCTATAAATCACCGCATAACAGATTATTACTTACTAGTTTTTTTTTAAAAAAATAATTATTAAATCGTAGAATCTACGCTACTATTGTTTATTTGGTTCAACATTTTATAGAATAATAACCTCATTTTCACATATTTTATATTATTTTGGAAAACACTACCAGCAAGGGAAAGCAGATCTGTAAAATTATTTAAACATGTCAATACAACTCTTTTCTAATTCTACAATGCAACATAGAGACATAAAGTACGAGAACAAAAGTATATATGTTATTCCCCTACTTTTTGGGGTGGATAGTTTTGAACAAAAGTGTATATATATATATATATATATATGTTATTTATGTATTAATATTAAATGAGTGATAATATAGTTGAAGGTGACCATTTAAGTACAAAGGAAGAAGTACGAAGGTATACATTTATTTGTTATTATCTAACAATATTTTTAAATTAGTGAATGTTGTGTAATATTTATATTTTTATTAGATTGTGCACCTATACCTTAGCCCTATTGTCCGTAAGATGGAACAGAATTACATGGCAACAATTGAGTCATAAACAGATGAAGTAAAGGACACGGTCATCGATGTCTTGAAGGCCCAATGGAAAGGTATGACTGTCATCACTTTAGGAATAGAGAGCGCGGATGATGAATATTTGAGTGGTCACAATATTATCCAACCTTGTGAGAATTATTTTTAAAATGTATCGAGTACTTCTAATGATGGGAATTTGGAAAATCTGTGTGAGCGTGTTGTATCCGTTGAGCAATCAATGGTGGAAGTTATTACTTATGTACGGAATGAAAAATTGAGGAAAGTTGAAAAAAAACAATAGGTTTAAGTCATCTATGGCCCCTTAAAGTTGTCCGCATATTTCACTTAGACACCTCAACTAAGGTTAGTACCTATTAAACACCTTAAATGTTCAAAAGTGATTCCTATTAGACACAAAAGGATGACATGGCAAAAGGATGTATTTCATCCTCTTTAAGCGCATAAAGGAATTTGAAAATATATATTTTTTCTTTTCAACTTATACACCTAATTAATAAATAATAATAATAATTAATTAATTAAAAAAAGACAAGAACATTTTCTGTCTTCTCCCCCATCTTCCCTGCAACTATTCATCATTCTTTACACACCCCACCCCCTCCACCTTTCTCTCTCACCCTCTCCAATTCTCCAATTCTTTTCTACTTTTTCCTTCTTCTTCTTTTTTTCAAATAATCCGGCAAAGCTCCATTATTTCCATTGAAAAAAAAAAAAATCCAGCGAGGTTGATTAATTTTTTCCGATAAAAGTTTTTTTTTCTTGTAAGTGTGATAAATGATTACTAGTGGAAAGAAGATAAAGATAATGAGTGAGAGGTTTTTTAACGCTATTAGAATGAAAGGTGAATGAGGGGTTAACTTAGATAGGGATCAAAGGTATATTATCGGCACCGGTGAAAGGGATAACATTCGAGAAAGGGATGGAGGCGATGATTTACATGCGGTTGAATCACAACAGCCCAGTAAAAAGGAAAGCAAGATCCAATGGACAAGAATGATGGTAGAGGCAATGGTTTACTGTTAGCTGAGGAGCAGTGAAAAGGAAAATAAGTTCGGTGGAAAAAAAAACGAACAGTGGAGTGGGGTAGGGGTGGGTTAACTCAAACATAATATTTTGTTTTCTAAATATTCCTTTGGGATTATTTGAATAGAGTTTATAAAAAAATTTAATTCAATTGCCACGTGTCAATATTGTATTGGTCTATTTTTTATGTATATGCGTTTAAGATGCACACATGTTTGTATTTTTATTAATTATCATTTTGTGTTAAATAGGTATAAATTTGTTAAGATTTAAGTGTTCAATAGGTACAAGGCTAAATTGAGGTGTCTAAATGAAATATGCGGACAACTTTAAGGGGCCACGTATGACTTAAGCCAAAACAATAACAAGAGAAATGTAAATTAGTATATATATTGTTAGTGTCAAGTAATTTATTTCTATAATTTGTTATTTTTTGTCAAAGTAATACAGTACATGTGAACATTACAACAGTTGATGAAGAATTTGCTGCAATTGATGAATACCTTATAGATGCAGTTGATGTTGTGTTGATGAATTGACATGTGATCTAGTTGATGAAGTGGTAGATTTGCTCTCATTTAAGATCCATTTATCTCAATAATTAGTATCCTCAATGCCTAACTTCTTTTTCCTTTTCTAATCAAATATTGATGATTTGCAGCTATGAAGGCAATTTAACAAGGCAAGGACTGATGTGTGAAAGAATGGGTAAAAATACAAAAAGAAGTGCAAAGTGAACATCGTTGATCGCCTAACAGGAAGGGTCGATCGCCAACTAAGCAAGACCTCACCCAAATTGACAGTGCATAACACTTGTGTCTACCAAAGAGGGTCAGCGAACTCATGAAGAAAAGATGATGAACCGAGTTAGAACGGAAGTCTTGACGCACATCGCCTAAAGTGATAGTGTGCAAAAAAAAGATTTAATGCTCAAACGACGGACTAAGGTGGAATTCAGCGATTCACTGAATGTAAGGCTAACTCAAGCGAGTTCGCCAACTGAGATTGTAACATTCCAAAAAATTCATGACTAAACTAGTAGCTAACCTAAAATGAGTAGGCTAAGTTAGAGCTTGACGTTAGAATTAGAGCCTTGAGGATGCCTAAAAATTCATGGTTTGGTGTAAGAAGGTCAAGCCCAAAACCTCAAGGACCAACCTTGGGTCCTTGAGGAAAGGACCCTTAGGGCTGCCAGGCAGTGACCCATGAGTGGGTTCCACACCCGTGGACCAACCCACGCCCCGTAGGGGGAGCAGCGTGGGTGAGTCCTTATGGAATCTGCCCAAGGAAGTAGCCACGGGTAGGACCCACGCCTCGTGGATGGGTCCACGCCACGTGGCCTTCCTCCGTAGGTCAAGGCCCCAAAAACCACCTCCCAGCCACAAACCACGAATGACTAGCACGTGTCTTGGTCCTACCCACGGTCCGTGGGTCCCCAATCGTGGATCACCCCTGAAATTGCCTTTTGGCAGTTGAGTCTAGGGGCTCTTTAGTAATTTCCTAATTAACTAATAGTTATGTGATGTCGTTTTAAGCTTATTTTAAAGGATTATATAATTATTTTCTCACCTAAAAT